GGCTCGAGAAACTATGAAAGAACTTGAGAAGGCCCAAAATCTGCCCCATCTTAGTGGGGGATTGCTGTTAGGATTCTAGCTCCCAGCACACTAAAAAATCCCATCATCCCACTCACTTTCTAGAATGAGGGTGCTCCAAATGATATTCTTACCTTTAGTTGGTAGCTCATTCTCACTCCAGGGATGCCAGTTGTATAAAATCTTGGAGGGTGGCCAGGGTGTGGCCCCAAAGGCTTTTCCCCTAGCCGCCCAGGTTTTGGGGGGCCCGGGCCTCTCCTCCAGCTGGGGCCGCCCAGGCCATGGGGCAGATGGCAGAGGAAGCGAGGGTCGAGCAGATTGATTGATCAGATGCTGTTTATTCCATTCTTATCCCCATTCACTCCTGTCTCTCTCTCTCTCTCTCTCTCTCTCTCTCTCTCTCTCTCTCTCTCTCTCTCTTTCCTTCTCTCCCGGGCCCCAATCTGGAACCCCTCTTTCCTGGCTCTGGCTGCTCTTGATCCTGCAGCCCACTCTTACAGTTTCATTAAATCCCAAAACCATGAGGGGTTGGGCCTACACAAAGGTGTGGTCACAATCAATAGGGGTAAGGTTCTTTCCCTCAGGGGATGCTGCTTCTAGGACAGATTCTCTTTCAGCAGGACCACCCACCCAAGGGTGGAATCCCATGGGTGTGTTTCTCCTCACCTTGTCCAAACATAAAGCATTCATAATATTAATCATTTTGTATGGACACGATAAGAGATGCATTAAGCTCATAGAATTGTTCTCCTGGGGTCATCCCGATCTCAGACTACAGTGCTCAGGCCAGATTAGTCTTTCCGATCCCTAGCAGGGTCCTAGTCTTGTTGTTACTTTTGGATCATGACAGCATTTGTCCATGATCAACTCTTAATAAATGGCTCAGGAATCACTACTGGTGGTGCTCGGTGGTCTTATGGGATGTGAGCGATTCATCCTGGATCAGATCAAGCAAGGAAAGCTTCTTACCCTCTGTACAATCTCTCTAGCCCCTGAAATTAATTTCTTGACAACAGGCTGTGAAGTGTAGGATTGTTACGCGTTTTATACATGCCTATGAGAAATCTATTCATCTCTTCTCACACGTGCCTATTTTTTTAATTTTGAGATTATTCACATAGTCTAGGATTGTTATTCCATCTCTTCAATATTTGGGCTGTGACACCACCAGAAGTTCAGTTCCAATATCTTCTCATTTCTCCTAGACCCCACGTGCCACATGGAACCAGAAAACTTGACTGAAATTCTGGGATTTTTACTTCTGGGCATTTCAAAGGAGCCTGAACTGCAGCCCATCATTTTTGGGATTTTCTTCTCTATGTACCTGGTCACAGTGCTGGGGAACCTGCTCATCATCCTGGCCACCATCTCCGACCCCCACCTCCACACGCCCATGTACTTCTTCCTCTCCAATCTGTCCTTGGTGGATATCTGCTTCACTTCCACCACCATACCCAAGATGCTGGCCAACATGCAGACGCACAGCAAGGCCATCTCCTACGAGGGTTGTCTCATTCAGCTGTATTTTTTCTTGCTGTTTTCAGCAATGGATGGCTTTCTGGTGACCGCAATGGCCTATGACCGCTTGGTGGCCATCTGCCATCCCCTACACTACACGGTCATCATGAACCCTCGGCTCTGTGTGCTGCTGGTTCTCATGTGCTTGGTCACCAGTGCCCTGCATTCGTTATTAGAGAGTTTGATGGTGTTTCGGCTGTCCTATCGTGCAGACACAGAAATCCCCCACTTTTTCTGTGAACTCAACCAGATGGTCCAGCTGTCCTGTTCTGACACGTTTTTGAACAACCTGGTCATATATCTGGAGGCGGTGTTTCTGGGAGGAGGCCCAGTGGTTTACATCCTTTACTCTTACTCGAAGATCGTCTCTTCCATCCGCCGCATCACATCAGCTCAGGGCAAGTATAAAGCCTTTTCCACCTGTGTGTCTCACCTCTTCGTGGTTTTCTTGTTTTATTGCACCAGCGTTGGCGTGTACCTGAGCTCTTCAGGGTCCCACAGTTCGCACTCCAGCGCCACTGCCTCGGTGATGTACACCGTGGTCACCCCCATGCTGAACCCTTTCATCTACAGCCTCAGGAACAAAGACTTGAAAAGGGCCCTGAAAACATTCTTTGGGAAGAAACAATGAAAGTTGAGTTGTCCTTGGGGGTGAAGATTCTTGGATTTCAGGTTAAACACCATGAATACACAATTTCTGCCCACCCCAGAGCTGGGTAAATGTACCTATGATGTGACTTTAATTCTAGAATTTCGTGTGTGTGTGTGTGTGTGTGTGTGTGTGTGTGTGTGTGTGTGTTTGAGGGGACTGGAGGTAGAAACGCCTGACAGTTGTCAGGGCTTACTTGTGGCTCTGCGCTCAGGTGTCACTCCTGGCAGGCCCAGAGGACTGACCAAATGAGGTGCTTGTGGATCAAACATGGGGCCATGTCCAAGGTCTCTGTGCTGTCACACTGGCCCTAGAGTTCCCTTAAATTTCAAATATAATTTTTATTTCAACTCTATTAATATATATTTCTATTTTTCTCTTTATAAACCTTTTTGGACTTCAGGGATTATTTTGTTTATTCACTTTAAAATCTCTCATTCCCCTGATCCCAACATTTGGGTCAATATTTGAGAACTTTATTTTACGGACTTTCATATGTGACCTGAAAATGTTAGATGATGATAGTTTTGTAGGTAACAACAAATAAAAATTGTTTTATAAAATAACCATAGTTTGTAACAGTTGTCTCGGGAAAAAGCACCTTTGCTCACCAACCACACTAATTATACCATTTTATACAATCAAAATCTGACAAAAGTTTATCATTTTATGTCTAACACTCTCTTCCTTAAAAAATATTTTGGGGGCAATTCTTGCCTGGTAATGTTCAGCGGTTAGTCCTGGCTCTGCCCTCAGAAGTACTTCTGGAGGTGCTTGGGGACCCTATAGGATGCTGGGGATTGAACCCGGGTTGGCAGTGTGCAAGGCAAGTACCCTTCCTGCTGTGCTTTCACTCCAGCCCAGACTCTTCTTTCTTAATTTAATTTTATTCATCATGATTTATGATTCTATCAATGACAGAGTTTAATGCACACAACCCTTTACCACCACTTCCTCCACCAGCCTGTCTGTTCCCTCCCCAATGTCTCCCTATCTCCCACCCTCACTCCCCATTTATCTCCTTATTATGCTTCTTTGTAGCACTGTCCTGGCTGGAGAGATACCACAGCAGGTAAGGCATTTGTCTTGCACACAGCCTATCTGGGTTCGATTCCTCCATCCCTCTCGGAGAGCCCGGCAAGCTACCGAGAGTATCCTGCCCACACGGCAGAGCCTGGAAAGCTCCCCGTGGTGTATTTGATACGCCAAAAACAGTAACAGCAAGTCTCACAATGGAGACGTTACTGGTGCCCGCTCGAGCAAATCGATGAACAATGAGGGGGACAGTGCTACAGTGCTACTATGTTTCTTTATATCCCATGGATGAGGGAGATCAGTCTGTACCTGTCCCTCTCCATTACTCAGCATAGTACCCTTAGATTCCTCCAGGGAGCAGCAACTAGCATGATTTTAAATATTGTCTTATGAAATCAATCTAGGCCCCCAGATTGCATTATTTTTTCAATATATTTTTGAATTGAATTATCTCCTGCCCCCGCGCCTGGCTGTCCTCTCCGGGGCCCCTTGGAGGGGAGCGGGTTGAGTTTCCCTCCCCACCCTGACCAGGGGTCCAGCAGCCAAAGACCTCCAGAACCAGCCACCACCATGCTGAGACCACTCTCCACACACATGAAGGTACCGGCAGAGGAACAAAGGCATGCGGGTCCCGGGGCTGAGATCTCCAAGCCTACTCGGATTGGGGCTGAGCATCCTCCACCCAGATCCTCCAGATTCCACACCCACCAACTGGCCCCCTGGCTCCGTGTAATCCCATCAACGGCCAAGACTCAGAGACCATAAAAACCCAGCTCCTGAAAGCACGTGGCCGCATTTGCGGCCATGCGACATCTTATGATCTCATTCCTACTTTGGACAAACTGGAAGGCTACCGAATGTAACCTGCCCACATGGCAGAGTCTGGCAAACTCCCCGTGGCGCACCCAATATGCCAAATACCAGTAACAATGATGGGTCTCATTCTCCCAACCCTGAAAGAGCCTTGAATATGGCACTTTTTAAAAACTGTCAGGGCTAGGACGAAGGAGACGTTACTGGGGCCTGCTCGAGGCAATCGACGAACAACAGGATGGTCGTGATCGTGATTTTTGAATTGAATTACTGTGAGATAGACTCTTATGAAGTTGTTCATGATTAGGTTTCAGTCATACAGTGTTCCAACACCCATCCCTCCTTCAGTGTACAGTTTCCAGCACCAATGTTCCCAGGTTCCCTCCCATCACCCCACCCACTTCCTTCCCCAGCCTGACTCTATAGCAAGCTCTTTTCTTCTCTTTGTCTCTCTGTCTCTGTCTCTCTCTTTTTCTCTCTCTTCTTTTGGGTATTGTAGTTTGCAATGCAGATACTAAAAGATTATCATATATATATACCTTTACCCTAGGTATATATATTATCATATATATACCTTTACCCAAGCCTACTCGAATTGGGACTGGCCCTTCTCCACCCAGACCCTCCATCTTCCAGTAGGTAGGCATCACACCCACCAGCTGCCGCCAGCGCCAGGTTGGTCCCATCAACGGACAAGACGCAGAGACTATAAAACCCAGCTCCTGGAAGACATCTTATTCTCTTATTTCTCCTTTGGAGAACCTGGCAGGCTACCAAAAGTATCCTGCCTTCACGGCAGAGTCTGGCAAGCTTCCCGTGTCGTACTCAATATGCCAAATACCAGTAACAATGATGGGTCTCATTCTCCTAATCCTGAAAGAGCATTGAAATGTCTCCTTTAAAATCTCAGGGCTAGGAAGAAGGAGACGTTACTGGTGCCTGCTCGAGGAAATCGACGAACAACAGGATGATCGTGATCGTGATCGTGATACCTTTTCCCACTTTTAACACTCAGGTCTTGTCCAGCGTGATCATTTCCAACTATTATTGTCATACTGGTCCCTTCTCTATCTTACCTACTCTTCGTCCCACACTCACTTGTGGGAGATTTCAACCTCTGACAAGTCCTCCTAGCCCCTCTTTTCTCTGGTCTTGGGTATTATTCTTCGATTAGTTTTATATGCCACAAATGAAGGCAGTCATTCTATATCTGTCCCTCTCCTTCTGACTCATTTCACTCGGCATGATAATCTCCATGTCCATCCATTTATAGACGAATTTCATGACTTTATTTTCCCTAACAGTTGCATATTCCATGGTGTAGATATATCAGTTTCTTTATCCATTTGTCTTCTATTCTTAGGCACTCATGTTGTTTCCAGATTCTGACTATTGTGAATAATGCTGCAATGAACATAGGGGTAGAGATGGTAATTCTGCTGTGTTTTGGGCCCCCAAAGATATTTTCAGAAGTGGTATCTGAACAATCACTTACAGCAGACAGTAACTGTCACCTTGGGACAAAGCTTAATGGGATGGAGCACATGCTCAGCATAGCCAGGACCCTGACTTTGATCCCTGGCCCCGCAGGTACCCCAGAACCTGGGATGGAAACCCTGGCAATGTCTAGCATTGTTGAACTGAAGGGGCATGCATAGCCAAGCCGGAGCATCAACCCATCTGCCCATGCAGTCAGACTAAGAATCACAAGGTCTACACTATGATCCCTGAGCACTGTTTAAGAGTCACCCCAAAGAAGGAATTAATTCATCACATTTTCCCCCTTGAATGATTCATTAATGAACCCTGCTGTCAGTTTTTATATCTCTCCTCTAATTCATCAATTTGTACATTTTGAAATGCAATTGTTTGGGAGTTATCGCTGAGTGATAATCTTCTGAGTAAATTACTAGAAAGGCAAAAATAACTAGTGGCAGGTAGTCATTGAAGGTGATAGGAAGATCTCTGGGTCTCTCTTTTTATGGGGAGCATACCCAGTGATGTTCAGAGCTCCTGGCTCTGCATTCAGATATCACCCCTGGTGATACTTGGGAAACCCTATGGGGTGCCAGGGATTGAACCTAGGTTGGCTACATGCAAGGCAAATGTCCTCCCTGCTATCCTATCTCCCTGGCCACAGGAGAGGATTCTTGGACTAGGAGGAAAGTATAAGTGTGTCAAAAATGGTGCAATTGTAGAAGTGAATTGAAGTGATTCACTTTTAATATGTTTTATGTAAAATAGAAGATAAAAATCATAAATAAATAAACAGTTTGCATGCAGACTCGAGAGAGCACTGTGGCAAGCATTGCAATGTGGAGGAACATCATGAGTTCTCTCTAGAGACTCCTATCCAAGGTCTATTATAGACCCCGGAGAGCACCAACAGAGCCCAGAGCACTCTGTGTCTCCTCCGATCAGCAGCAATGGGATCCAGTCATTTGCTGTTGAGATGGCTCAGGAAATAGCAGATGGATGAACTGAAGGTGGTTCCCTGATCCGGAGCATTTGTCTGGGGTTTTCTACTTCTTAACATTAAGAATCATTTTCTGCTTCCACACTTTGGTTCAGTAATTTCTTGTTAGTGTTTGTTCAGGGATTTTTCTTTGTTTGCTTGTTTTTAAAAATGTGTCATCATATTCCTCACCAGGTCAGGAGAGATTAGAAGAACATGCATTTTTGTGTAGGAAAACTCGTGACAAAGATTTATCAGATGGGATAAGAACTCAAGTTTTCTTTGACCCAAAGATGAAAGACTCCAGAATGTAAACCAGGTAACAGGAGAGGTGAACTGGATTATGTTTATCCACAACACTTTAGTGGTATGACGTTTATTCAAAACCTATTGCTGATCAAGAGAAAACGAGGCAAGTGGAGATACTTTCATTAGAGCAATAGAAAGAACAAAATTAGGGGGTAGTGAGGATGGCATTTGCCTTGCACGTGGCCAACCCCGCTTCTATCCTTGCATCCCATATGGTCCCCCAGCACTGCCAGGAGTAATTCCTGAGTAAAGAGTCAGGAGTAACCCCTGAGCAATGTTGGTTGTAACCCAAAAAGCAAGCAAAACAAATCACACCAAAACTACAGGAAATCTAGAATTTGGACAGCAATAAAAATGAAGAAAATTCAAGAAAAGTTATTGAGTATCAAATTAATAAAAGCATCAGTTATTGAAAGTGTTAATAAATACTTTATCAATGTATTTCAATTTCCTTATGTGTGGGCTTTAATTCTCCAAGGAGTAGGCTTTACAATATGAAAAAGAGTTTCCCTGCATATTAATTCAATAAATGATTTAAAATTTAACTTCCTTACAGTTAAGGTCATCTATGTCTCCGAGGTCATTTCAGTCCCTCCAGTGCAAAGAAGGCTTCCCTTTAAGACACATATTTGATTATTACTTTTTCTAGCCACTTGGTTTTGCTTCTAGACAACAAACCAAAAGATAAGCTCTCAATAAGGAAAATAAGACCCAGTGATCTTAAAAGACTGTAAAAAAAAAAGTAGTATCATAAATGCTTTTAAGTACATGCTGTCTCTATTGGAATTTCCTTTTTTTGTTGTTTGTTTGTTTGTGGTTGAAAATCAAGGAGGTAAGCAAAAAAGAAACAACCATCAGACAAGACTACCAAAGCAATAGTGCAACAGGCAAGGCGTTTACCTTGATGCAGCCAACCCCGGGTTCGATTCCTGGCATCCCAGAGGGTCTCCTGATCACTGCCAGGACTAATTTCTGAATGCAGAGCCAGGAGTAACTCCTGAGCATCACCAGGTGTGACCCAAAAAGCAAATAAATAAAGGCCCTCCCGTTGTTCGTCGATTTGCTCGAGCGGGCCCAGTAACGTCTCCATTGGAGACTTTGTTGTTACTGTGTCTGGCATATCGGGTACGTCACGGGGAGCTTGCCAGGCTCTGCTGTGCGGGCGAGATACTCTCGGTAGCTTGCCGGGCTCTCCGAGAGGGGCGGAGGAATCGAACTCGGGTCGGCCGTGTTGGCTGCGTGCAAGGCAAACGCCCTACTGCTGTGCTATCGCTCCAGCCCAAAAAGCAAATTAAATAAAATTAAATAAACTATTGAAGATAAGTAAGAAGAATTGCATGCATTGTTGGAAGTTGGGGTCAAGGAGATCTTAATCCCAAGAAAGAACTAGAAAGAGAAAATTCCAATATCCAGACGCACAGATGCTGCCCAAACCCATGTGCTGCCCGTGCCCGTGTGTTGCTGCCAAGTGCACATGGAGGAATTTCAGGAGTGCTTGATCGATTTCTTTGAAGAATTTCATGAGTATCTTTATAGGGATCGCATTGAATTTATACAATGCTTTGGGGAGTATTGCCATTTTGACAATGTTAATTCTCCTGATCCATGAGCAGGGGATGTTTCCATTTCCTCGTGTCCTCTTTTATTTCATAGAGGAGGAGGAAGGAGGAGGACGGAGGAGGAGGAAGAAGGAGGAAGAAGGAGTCAGTAACGGCCCTAAACGTTGCCACTGTAGGGTAAGCAGATGCACAGGTCTGAGCTGCTAAGAGGATTACTGTCCACCAATGACCAGCCACCAATGTTTACCACAGTGACCAAGCTAACGTGACACTCTGATGTAACAAAGATTCTGCATGAAGAAAAAGGAGCTTCTTCGAAGACTAGATCTGCGAAGAGATCTGAACTCAGTGCATTGATCAAGACCAAACCCCGCCACCACTGTCCCTGCCTCCACTGCCGGTCTTTCTCCACATCCAGGTTCGTTGGCAGAGTGTCAGCCTGGCCTTTAAGGTCCACTTTGAGATCGGCTATGCCGCAAGCACGGTCACCATGGTCAGTGCCAGTTTTACCTCCATCAGTGTCGCCAGAGCAATAAGACAGTAGGAAGGGAGCAAGCTTGCATGTGGCCAACCCGGGTTCTATCTGCAGCACCCCATAGGTTCCCAAAGCACCATCAGAATGATCCCTGACTATAGGACCAGGAGGAAGCCCTGACTAAGTAAGTACCAACCTGTCGAAGAAAGGAAGAAGAAGAAGGAGGAATAAGGAGGAAGAAGGAGGAAGAAGGAGGAGGAAGGAGGAAGGAGGAGGAGGAAGAAAAGAAAGAAAAAAAGAAAGAAAGAAAGAAAGAAAGAAAGAAAGAAAGAAAGAAAGAAAGAAAGAAGGAAGGAAGAAGGAAGGAGGAGGAAGGAGGAGGAGGAAGAGGAGGAATAAGAAGAGAAAGAAGAGGAAGAAGAAGAGGAAGAAGAGGAGGAAGAGGAAGAAGAGGAAGAAAAGGAGGAAGAGGAAGAAAAGGAAGAAGAGGAGGAAGAGGAGGAAGAAGAGGAAGAAGAAGAGAAGAAGAAGAAGAAGAAGAAGAAGAAGAAGAAGAAGAAGAAGAAGAAGAAGAAGAAGAAGAAGAAGAAGAAGAAGAAGAAGAAGAAGAAGAAGATGTCTGAAATATTTTATGCTTGTAAACCCTACCTGGAACAGTAGTGGCAATCACACAGCTGCTAAAATAAAATAGAACTACAGAGCCAGATGACGCTGACTATGCAGCAGCTGACTCGAGTTGGACCCGGGACATATCACAGGGTCCCCTATACCCACAGGATTGATCCTTGAGAGCAAAGCCAGGAAGATGCTTGGAGCAGCAGGGATGTGCCCTAAAACAAACAAAGATACAAGAAACATAATGTCTCCTGAATATAATTCCCCAATAGACTCCCTCTAAAGAAGAGCCTCTTCTCAAGGCACAAATGACTTCACAGCAGCGAGATTAAGGGCCCTGGCTCCACAGTCCTATTGTCACTGTCACTGTCCTCCGGTTGTTCATCGATTCGATTTGTTCTAGCGGGCCCAGTAACGTCTCCATTGGAGACTTTGTTGTTACTGTGTTTGGCATATCGAGTACATCACGGGTAGCTTGCCAGGCTCTGCCGTGCGGGCAAGATACTCTCGGTAGCTTGCTGGGCTCTCCGAGAGGGGTGGAGGAATCGAACTCAGGTCGACCAGGTCGGCTACGTGCAAGGCAAACGCCCTACCCGCTGTGCTATCACTCCAACCCCCTGGATCTATTGAGGTATGTTTTTTGGTGCACAACATGGTCTATTTTGGAAAATCTTCCGTGTGCACTGGAAAAGAATGTGTATTCTTTGGGGGGGGGGGGTATGTAGAGTCTGTATAGATCTATTAGCCCTTTCTCTTCTATTTCTTCCTTCAAAGCCAGTGTTTCCTTGCTGAGTTTTATTCTTGTTGATCTATCCAGAGGTGCCAAGGCGGTGCTGAAGTCTCCAACTACTATTGTGTTGCTCCCAATGTCCTCCTTAAATTCTATTAGCAGTTGTTTTAAGTATCTAGCTGGTCCTTTGTTGGGTGCATATATGTTTAGGAGTGTGATTTCTTCCTGCTGTACATATCCCTTGATTATGAAAAAATGGCTTTTGCTATCCCTTCTAATCTTCTTCAACCTGGAATCTATGTTGTCGGATACTAGTATAGCCACCCCTGCTTTTTCGAGGGAGTAGTCTCTACTGTGTTCATACAAAATGACTAGAAATATTATAAGAAGTAAATATACTTTGATTGGTTAAAGGGATAACTAGCTGAGGAAAGGAGAAAGCAAAACACCCTAGGGGGAATCCCACCCTTGAGCAGATCTCCTAGTAATCTGGAGTGCTGGACCCTCAGATAAGATTTGTCCTTGAGATGTTTGGAGGATCCTCCCAGGAGGGGAGATGCATGTCGAAAGTAGACTATGGACTGAACATGTTTGCCACTCAATGCCTCTTTTGCAGACCACAACACCCAAAAGGAGAGAGAGAACACAGGGGATTGCCCTGCCACAGAGACAGGGGGGATGGGGGGATGGGGGTGGGAGGGATATTATCCATGGTGGTGGAAAATGGGCACTGGTGGAGGGATGGGTATCTGATCATTGTATAATTGAAACCAAAGCACAAAAAATTGTAAATCTACAACTTTAAAAAAAATAAAATAAAATAAAGGGAAAAAAAAAAAGATTTGTCCTTGAGTTAATATCCTAGAACTTCCCCTGAAGGAGTGGCTTTATCTCTGTTGTTATGACAATGTTCAATCCCACCTATGTGTAACCCACCCTTCATGATTTCTATGTAACTATGCTGCAAGGGGTGAGAGGGTTAGAGGAATTTGAGGTTCTACAATGGGAACTAGAGTGATGGAACTATGTTGACCGGGACTACAACCAAAACTACGATTACGGTTGTGCCGTAAGGGGAGAGATCATCCATCCGTCCCCACTGGACAGACAGAATGACTCGACAGCCAAATGCTCGAGTCCCTCGAGCCCACACCTTCTTTGACAACTCACAGGTAAAGCCATTTTTTAAAAAATCCTGTTGGTGCCACATCATACGGTGCTCAGGAGTGACTCCAGGTACTGCTTCCAGGAACCACTCTGGGCGGTGCTCAGGGGAATCTATGGGATGCCGGAATCGAACCTAGGTCAGTCACATGCTAGGCCAGGGCCCTTAATCTCGCTGCTGTGAAGTCATTTGTGCCTTGAGAAGAGGCTATTCTTTAGAGGGAGTCTATTGGGGAATTATATTCAGGTGACATTATGTTTCTTGTATCTTTGTTTGGGGGTCACACCCTTGCTGCTCCAAGCATCTTCCTGGCTTTGCTCTCAAGGATCAATCCTGTGGGCATAAGGAACCCTGTGATATGTCCCGGGTCCAACTTGAGTCAGCCGCTGCATGGTCAGCGTCATCTGGCTCTGTCACGGTCACGGTCACGGTCCGGTTCTCTCGTTGTTCATCGATTTGCTCGAGAGGGCCCAGTAACATTGTGAAACTTGTTACTGTGTTTGGCTTATCGAATACGTCACGGGGAGCTTGCCAAGCTTTGCTGTGCGGGCGAGATACTCTCGGTAGCTTGCCGGGCTCTCCAAGAGGGGCGGATGAATCGAACTCCGGTCGGCTGTGTTGGCTGAGTGTAAGGCAAACGCCCTACCCGCTGTGCTATCGCTCCAGCCCTCTGGCTCTGTAGTTCTATTTTTTTTTTAGCAGCTGTGTGATTTCCACTACTGTTCTGGGTAGGGTTTACAAGCATAAAATATTTCAGAGATCATCTTCTTCTTCTTCTTCTTCTTCTTCTTCTTCTTCTTCTTCTTCTTCTTCTTCTTCTTCTTCTTCTTCCTCTTCCTCCTCTTCCTCCTCCTCCTCCTTCCTCTTCCTTCCTCCTCCTTCCTCCTCCTTCCTGCTCCTTCCTCTTCTTCCTTTCTTCATCAGGTTGGTACTCAGTCAGAGCTTCCTCCTGGTCCTATAGTCAGGGATCATTCTGATGGTGCTTTGGGAACCTACGGGGTGCTGCAGATCGAACCCGGGTTAGCCACTTGCAAGCTGGCTCCCTGCCCACTGTCTTATTCCTCTGGCGACACTGATAGAGGTAAAACCGGCACTGACCACGGTGACCATGCCTGCGGCATAGCCGACCTCAAAGTGGCCCTGAAAGGCCAGGCTGACACTCTGCCAACGAATCTGGATGTGGAGAAAGACTGGCAGTGGAGGCAGAGACAGTGGTGGTGGGGTTTGGTCTTGATCAACGCACCGAGTTCAGATCTCTTTGCAGATCTAGTCTTCGAAGAAGCTCCTTTTTCTTCATGCAGAATCTTCATTACATCAGAGTGTCACGTTAGTTTGGTCACTACGGTAAACATTGGTGGCTGGTCTGTTGGACCCCCGATCCTCTTAGCAGTTCAGACCTGTGCATCTACTTACCCTACAGTGGCAAAGTTTAGGGCCGTTACTGACTCTAGCATAAATGTCCATTCATAATGAATGTCAGTGTTTTCCCAGTGACAGCATCTTTGTTTATTCTCCTGCCCCTGGATATGGGAGAAGAGAATCTCCCTCCCTCCAGAGCTAGAGACTCCTTTATTGCTGCTCTCTGTGTTGAGCTCTGCAAAGGTTCCATATGTGAGAAATGGAGTTGGTTGCTGTGCCATGGGGATGGCTTGCTCTCTCAGCAAGCCTGGTAGGAGTTTCTTTGTTGGAGACACAGTGCATCGGGGAGGGTGCTGGCCTGTCACAGGGCCACCTCAGGTTCGATCACTGGCATCTCACGGGCCTCTCTTGAGTAAATGGATGTGACCCCAAAACCAAAAGGCAGAGTTCCCAGCCTCTGTTCTCTGAGCTTCTCCAAAGAACTTGCTGCCTGTCCACCCCATTCCTCGTAGCCCACGGAACTGTAATGAATCTCTTTCAGTTTTTCCTGGATGTTGGCTAATTCAGATGAGTTGCAGTGAAATGATTGCCACAATGAGTTACACATAGTTTGTAGGATGGGACGCCCTGGGGAAACCTGAGCACAATTCCAGGAGAGTGGGGATGGTGCTGGCCTGGCTCCCGGCCACCACGTTCACAGGACCCACCCTGAGCAACTTGATGTGACCCGGAATCAAAAGGCAGAGTCCCCCACTTCTGTTCTCTGTGGGTCTCCACCAAATAATTTGCTGCCTGTCCCATATTCCATGTAGCCCTTGGGACTGTGATAAACCCCTTTCAGTTTTTCCTGGATATTTGCTGATTCAGGTGCGTGTTGCAGTGAAGTGATGACCACATTGAGTTACACATAGGTTTGTGGGGGTGGGAGGTCCTGGAAAACCTGAGCCCAGATGCTCTGATTAGGAAGGAAGGAAGGAAGGAAGGAAGGAAGGAAGGAAGGAAGGAAGGAAGGCAGGCAGGCAGGCAGGCAGGCAGGCGTGAGCTGCTGGTCTGTTTCTGAGCCAGACTTAGGAAGCCAAAGACTGTTCACCCAGCGTGGGGCATGTTGAGAGACTGAGGCAGAGAAATATTTACATCTCCCTGTAACAT